AAAATCATTAATGTTTGGGGGCAATTTTTTTTCGAACGTTTTTTTTTTTTTTGATTAATCCCCCCGAAAGTTACTATTTTTTTTTTTTTTTTTTTTTGTTAATAATAATGATGATTATGGTGAGTTTTGTTTTCTTTCTCTGAATGAAAATTGATCATCAAAAAAAATGGTTAAATATAGCCGACAAAATTAGTCAGAAGAAAAAAAAATTGAAGGGAGAAAAAAATCACATTTCTTTTGTTACGGGAAATTTGATTCATCCAAAAAAAATAATCGATTGTGTGCATCGATTGTTTGCGATTGTGTGCATCCGACTAAACAATCGATTATTCGTGATTTTTATCCAAAACAAAACAAAAAAAAAATATCAAACATCAACCTGTATACCGAACTGTAATCAAATCAAATCAAATCAATCTCTTCTTTTTTGAATCAATTAAATTAACTGATTAATTAATTAATTGATAAATCCTAAAAGCTATTAATTTTCTTTTTCTTTTTCTTTAAATTTAGATTATCGTGGGGAGGGAAAGAACTAAACTAAACAAAACTATTAAATTCAATTATGAATCGAAAAAAATGCTACAAACAGCATACAAAGTTTAATGATTTTGAAAAAAGGATGGATCAACCAACCAAACAATCAACAACAAAAAAAATTTATATGTCAAATTGATATGATAGCAGCAATCAACAATCAACATCATAATTATCATCAAAGCAACATCAATGTCAAAACTTAATCCGTTTTTTTTTCTATCTCCCATTTGATCATGATGATAATAATAATGATTATAGAACATCCTAATCATCATGACATGTTTTTAAAAATATATTTTCTCAATTAAAATATATTGCAATTTCATCCTCTTCAACCAAAAATGATGATAACAACACAACAGCACAAAAGAAAACTTTTGGATCATTGAATCCCAGAAAAAAAAATTTTCCACCAGATTCATCATCATCATCTAATATAATAATCCCGACATTTTTTGATTAATATTTATGATGATATCCTTATTAACTGACTCTCGTTTTGATGTAGTAAAGACTATATTAACAACAAATGAAAGTAAAAGAAAAAGGAAATAGACTTTCTCATTTTATTGGAGTCAGTTTGGCTTTTTCATAATCATAATTATTATCATCATCATATTGGCGCCATATCATTTCATATTTGCTTTAATCTTTCTTCTTTTATTATTGCTATTATTATTACTAATAACAGAGCAAATAACATTAGAAAAAAAAATTTCAATCATCATAATTACATGGTAAAGATATATATTTCCAGTTTGAAAATAGAGAAAAAAATTTTGGACAAAAAGCAAGCAACAAGTGTCAACAGAGAAACATTACCTCATGGCTAATTTTCAACGGAAAAAAACGAGTTGATAATGAAAAAAAAATTGAAGAGAAAAAAAAGAATGTTTTTCAAAACGAAAATGAAATTCTCATCACCAAATTCACAATCGATTATTTCAAAGAATTTATTGTTGTTGTTGTTGTTGTTATTCACACTTGTTGTTATTTCAAAAGATCAAAAAAAATCAAAAATCATCCACTTGTTGAATCAATGATGATGATGATAGAAATGATCAATTTTTATTATCATTTCAATAAATGATAATTATCTGGTTGCTTATAGCAATGACGATGATGTTTTTTTTCATTTTTTCTTTTGTTTTATCATCCTTGTTGTTGTTGTTATCGATGCAAATTATGATGATGATGATGATGATGATAGAAAAAAATTATATTTTCCACTCTGATGATGATATGTCAATATGCATTTGTTTATGTTTCAATCAATTGATGAAACAAAAAGCAGAAAAATGAAAAACAGAAACAAATAAACAACAACAACAAAACGAAAAACAATAACAAAACAAAAATAACTGAAAATTTTATTAAAAACAATGTCAATGTTGGATTCAAGATATTCGTTGGTTGGTTGGTTGGCTGGTTGGTTGATTTGTTTTGCTTAATTACCTGGATTGATATTTTGTTTTTCCAAATCTCTGGTATATCGCATCAATATAACCAACCAAAAATATCAATAATAATAAAAACCTCACCATGATTCAATCATGATCTCTCGCGTGATAAATGATTACCTCTCTCTCTCTATCTTTCAGTTGGATCATGCCTTTTTTCTCCACTCTCGAAATACTAAAAAAACCAGTATGGCTATAGGAATGAAGATGCATGTGTTTGGTTGGTATGTTTGGGTAATGTTGCTGCGACTACGATCTTGTATGTATATTTGCAATGTGGCCACAAAAGCCGCCAAACAAATGCAAACAAACAAAGATTGTATTCTTCTTCTTCTTCAGTATTGAGTGTACCGAAATAACTTTCTTTTTTTTTTGCTTCGGTTGCCTATCATCGATGGTTATGGCGATGATGACCAGTTGCCAAAAGAAGAAAGAAAGAAAAAAAACATTTTTGCATTGTAATTTCATTTGTATTAGTGGTTAGTCAATCGATAGTTTTTTTTAGGTTAGCATCAAATTAATTGGCAGAAAAATGAAAATTTCCAATCATATTTAGATTGATATTTTGTTAGCAAAGAAAAAAGGACAGGTGAAAAAAAATTAACACTTTAACACTTCTACATTGTTTTTTCCTTTGAAATGATCATCTGTTTTTTTCCCCTTAAGTTTGACCAACCAAAAAATATCCCATCAACCATCAACAACAACAATCAATAACTTCAAGGTAGCCGTTTTGTTTTGTTTCATTGTTCACACAAACAACATGAAAAAAAGAAACAAAAAAAAAATTTTTACCTTCAACCAAATAAAATGGATTATTGATTTGATTTTGACAAGATTTTTATTTTTCAATATAGAAAGGAAAAACATTTTGAAAAAAAAACAAAATTTATGATTTAAAAACAATTTTTTTTTTGAAAATTAAACAGCTTGTTCAACAACATGTTGTTTAACTGTTTTATCAATAAACGATGCTTGACGGGTGAAAATTTTTCGAACTTTATCATCTTTTGTTTTGATAAGCAAAAGACCTTGATGATGATCTTTTTCCGAACCTAATATTGCATAGGAAAATTCGGAAAATGGAATGGAAGAAATGATTTTCTATCGAGGGAAAAAAACAAAACAAAGATTGATTAAAATCAAATAGAAATTAGAAAAATTATGAAAAATATTTACCGGACATTCATTATTGATCAAATGTAGACCATTTTCATTAATACCGATTAAAATTTTTTTATCATAAAAATTTTTATGTATAAATGCATCACGAATTGATCGTTCCATTTGTGCTTCGAAAAAAAATCCACCATAACAAGGAATTGATTTACGACAAATGTCCAAATATTCCATATATAATGACATTTCGGGATTTATTCGATCAACAACATCATCGTAGCCACTGTCTATTTTTTCAATATCTTTTTGTAAATTCATACATGTTTTCTTTACATTCATCAACATTTTCCAACGATTCGGTGTTTTACGTAATGAATTATGATAGGATACGGTTTTTGTTTGTTTTTTTAATGTTTTATATAAATCTTTATTGATTTCGATGCTGGAACGTGATGATTCAATTGATTCATTATGTTTATCCGCCAACAACAATATTCGATTGATACGATAATCAATTTCCCATGATTTTAAAAGTTCAGATATATTCAATGGATAAATATTTTTATTAATATTATCACGTGCTTCTAAGTATAAAATTCGAAGTATTTTTGTTTTATTAATTTTTTCTTCATCTTTTATCGATAAATATCCATTACGACCAAAACGAAATTGTACGAATGATTTTTCTTTTAAAAGTTTTAAAAATTTTTCTTTCATTTCATGTAAACAATGTCTACGATTTAATGGTAATTGAAGTTTAAATCGATCATTGTCATTCAAAGTTGTTTCGGTAATCCAAATTGCAAAAACATTATAAATTTCATTATCATCATCATCGTCAACATGAATATCATAATGATTTTGACAAATTATTCGAATCAAATCGGCTGCCGTTGAATTTTCTGTTAAATTCATTTCAAAATATTCATCATTAGGAAGTTTAATTTTTTCCATTTTTTTTTCACACTCCGATTAACCGATTAAAGTCGTATTAAAACTTATTTACAAAAATAAAAATAAAAATTTTTGTTTACAAAAAACAAAATTTGACATAGTGATATATTACACTCATCAAACAAAAATCGGAAAAAACAATAAAAGTTGCCAAGTTTATACTAAGCAAATAAACCAAAAACTCAACTAATCAACTTTATAATTATCAATCACCCGAGTTACAAAATAAACAATTTGGATTTCAATCAAATCTGATAATTACGCAGCAACAACATTTTTATATCATTTTTTTTCCGGAATAAAATTGGATAAAATATTTGAATTTGTTTTTGAGAAAATAAGAAAATTAAGAAAATAAAAGAGGAAAATAATAATAATAAAAAACTAATAACCTATGGAAAGTTTACATTTAGGTGAATTACAGATCTTGAAAAAAATCAAATATTCAGATGAGGAATGAAAAGAAAAAAACATTGATTAATTGGAAAAAAATTTAGGTGGAACAAAAAATAAATCCAATAAACTTTGAATTCAATGAAGAAATCTGATCGACATTTTTCCTTCAACATCAGTTCGTTCTAATGTTTTACAAAATTCTGAAAATGTTATATATTGATCACCATCTTTATCGGCTTCCATTATAGTACGATCGGCAATATTGGCCAATTGTTCGGTTGATATATTTGATCCGACCATCATATGTAACACTGCTAATAATTCATCACGTGAAATTTTTTCATCACCATCTAAATCATACATTTTGAATGCAAAACGTAGTTTATCTTCACGTGAATTTAATTTGATTTCACGATTTTTTTTAATCGGACGAAATCTTGCCAATATACGCATAAATTGACGAAAATTTATTCGATCATCAAATGAATCGGTTTCGGAAAAAAATGCTTGTACAATACGATCACCAAGTGGATTAATAGCCAATTCTGGTATACGAAGAAAATCTTCACGTCCTAATGTACCATTATCACCTTTATCCAAACTAGTAAAACGGCTATACAAACGTTCGATTTGTGATGCACTAACTATTCGCGTTTTCAGATAAAAATTAAAATTAAAATTTACTCAATTAAAGAAAAAAAAACTTACATCCAGTTTCATTTTGGATTGCATTAATCTCTTCATCTTGTAACATTAATGATGATTTATTACCCATTTTTATATTTATTGATTTTTAAATGTTATCAGAATCAATATGAAAACAAAACAAAAAAAAACAGCTTCAACAATCAATGATGAGATGAGAAAAACAAAATAATAAATAATCAACTGGACATTCGCATTGGGTACAACCAGCAAAAAAAACAGAAAGTGATTGAATATTTTTTTTCTATCGTAGACTGTCGTCAATATACCATTACGTTGATCAATTAGACAACAACAACTTTTGAACATAAGTCAAATAACACAGAATAGACAAGAAAAAAAAATATATTACAACTACATTTGATTTGTTGTTGTTTTATTTTCACTTGTTCATATTCATTCATTCATTCATCAGCATATATACAAATCTCATCGAATGAAATGAAATAAAATAAAATGAATGAACGAACGAAAATGTTGTAAATGTTGTTGATTATTTTATTTAGATTTACCAAGGCTGAAAGAAAAACGTTAGGTGGCGCTCAATCATATATGAAAATGTTTCTGTTTGTTACTGAAAGATGGCGAAAGTTGTTTATTTTTTTAATAATATTCGAATTTTATTTGTAAATATTTTTTTGAATGAAAAAAAAGTTACAAAAATAAAAATAAAAATTCCTGACTTGTTGAATATTGTAATTCATTCATTCATTTGTTAATTCTTCCTACAATTTTAACTTTAGCTGGCATATTTTTCGATATTTCCTGATCTTTTAATGTTTTTAATAAATCTTTTTCACGATCAGTAGCTGATTTTTCTTTTAAAAATAACATTAATGCATTTTTTGATGCTTTACCACGTTTAGTTGTACCGGGTATTATTTTTACTTTATATTTATATGATTGCATTGCTGAATATGGACCACAAACAGGTAATGCATATAATAAATTATCATCCGCAGTTGGATTTGATATTAATGATGATATGATTCGTTTACTATCTAAACTATATTTGTTTAATTCTTCTTGAATATCATCATCATCATCATCATCTTCAGCATTTTCACCATCAGCATTATTTTCATTTGTTGTTGTTTCTTCTTTGCCCTTATCATCCTCATCTTCATCACCATCATTATCATCATCATTATCATTTGGAATGTTGTCTTCGGTTTCAACAACTTTCGTTTCATTAGTTTCTGTTGCATTTTCATTAGTTTCTTTTACATTTTCATGATTTTGATTTAAATTTTTTTTATCCATTTTATTACGTTTTTTCATCTGTTTAGCAGCTGTTTTTTGTGAAAACATTTTTACTTTTTTCTTTAAATTTTCACCCGTATTAACAATTGTATAATCATCATCATCAGCAGCAGTTTTGTTTGAATTTTGTTCATCAAATACATTTTTATATTCAATTTTTGTATCGGGGAATGCCGAATCAATATCATCATCACCATCATCATCCTTAGTATTTTCTTTCGCTTGATTGTTGTTTGTCATTGGTGATTTTTTCTGTTCAATATTTCGACGATTTTCCAAACTTTGTTCATCGATACGAAACAAAATTCCAAAACCAAGTACTAAATTCTGTAATGGTATATAATTTTTTTTACCACGTATCATAAATGAACCAACCGATAAATATTGTCCGGTTGGTGCTGTTTTTTGTACCTGATTCGAATAAACCCAATATGCAGTGGATACAACTTTTGCTTCCCATGATGCACTATAACAAACTGCTATATTAGCAGCTTCATTTATAGTTTTTGGTGGTATTTCCATGTTTTCAGTATGATTTTTTATTACAACCGATGTTGCACCATGAATATCAGCATGTACATAAAGATCATTTTTAGTTAGATAACGTTTAACAATCATTTCATTTTGTTGTGCATCACGACCAGCTATAATTAGAAAACCTTCCGAACTAATTGACCAGAAAAATTTTTCAAACCATAATGTTTTTTTAGCCATAACAATAGTTGTTTTAATTGTTGTTTCTTTCAATTCTTGTTTAACTTTACGTTGAACATTTTTATATATTTTTTCCGTATGATCCAAAGTTTTTTGTTCTTTTTTTGCTGCATCTTTACGATGATCATAATATTTTCTTGCATTTGCATATGCAGTTAAATCAATATCAATATCAACAACCATAGGTTGACTATTAATATTATCTTCATATGGATCATCAAGTAACATTGAAAAACAATTTTTTTCCAATTTTAAACCTTTGATTTTTGTTGCAATTGGATCTTGATTATCTTGTGCATCTTTTACCATTTCAGCAATCATATCCCATGAATATTTATTTGCTATTGCACTACGTAATACGGAAATTGCATTTTCCACTAATTCAATATTATTTTCAATCAATGCAGCACGATGATTATCAATTTCTTGTAATTTTGCTAAATTCTCCAAACGTGATTCATGATCTTTTTTTATTGATTCTAATTTTTTCATTGCTTGTTTTTCATGTTGTACAACTTTTGTTTCAATACGTTGTGATTCCATACTGGAAAAAAATATATCAACAGCTTTATTAAAACTTTCATATTCATTATAATGACGATTTTCCAATTGTCTGAATAAATATGGATGAAATTCATCATTAATTTTAATATCTTCAAGTTCAGAATTTGTTCTTTTTTCAATTTTTATTGTAAGATAACCTTTTGATTGTGTTTGACGAATTTCTTGGACAATTGATTCAGCCAAATCAAATACCATTACTAACCAATCTAAATCTTGTAATGTTACTTTTATTTGATTTGTATCGGTAGTATTTTTAATTTTCATTAATGAATGTTCCAATAAATTTGGTCCATATAAAAAATGTGGATTAAATAATTTTTTAAAATTTTGTTCTTTTGATTCGGTAAGAATCTGTTGTAGACGATTTTTGGTCATTATTGATTGTTCAGTAGCAATATAGGTATTCAAATTCATCGGGTATTTTTCTCGTACGGCAATATTTATATTTGTTTTATCATCTTTATGAATTCGTAATAAACTTAATATTGAATAATCTTTATCAGTTAAAATAATATTTCCTTTACTATAAAGTTCCAGAATAATATGATTCGAATATTCGAGCGTACCGAATTGTAAATCAACAACTCTATCATTACCAATTTGTTTAATTTGTTCGAGACGTTTATTTCGTATATGTTTACGTAGTTTCATTGTAAAACCAGATGGTGATGGATTTTTTGGCCAATCATATTCAGTTAAATGTAAACGAATACCTGATTCCAGGATAAGCATCTGTTTTAAATGTTCTTCATCAATCGTTTTATCATTTGATGGATGTGAAAATCGAATTAAAAATGTTTTATTATCAATATCATATACTTGATAAACACGATTACCACATAATTTTTCACGTATTTCGGGTAATATTGCAATCAAATCTAATGTTGTAAAACGATTTTTCATTTTTGTTTCGTTTGTAAAATAATTCTTTTTTCTTTTGAAAAAAAATCACAAAATTTCTTGGTTGTTTTGTTTTGTTTTGTTGTTCGTCAAAACACGTCGATGTAACAAAAAATCTGTCACCTTTTATTTGAAAGAACTTTTTGAGTGGCTATGGAAAAAATTTTTTTTTCAATTTTGCCGAACAAGTTTTTTTTTTAATTTGATTAACGTTCGAAATGTCAAAAAGAAAATTAATTAACGATTCGATTAATAATAATAATAATGGTGATAATGGAGATCAAATATCATCAAAACATTCATCGACAAAAAAATATGATAATCGTTCAAGACATTGTCCATATCTTGATACTATAAATCGTGGTGTTTTAGATTTTGATTTTGAAAAATTATGTTCAATTTCATTATCAAAGATTAATGTTTATGCTTGTTTAGTTTGTGGAAAATATTTTCAAGGTAGAAAAATCTTTATTTTTTTGAAACCAAAATGTTTCTTAATTGATAATCAAAAATTACTCCAAAATAGGTCGAGGAATCGGTACTCATGCATATATGCATTCAGTATCATGTGGTCATCATGTTTTTCTAAATTTAAATACATTAAAATTTTATTGTCTACCAGATAATTATCAAATAATTGATTCATCACTTGATGATATTGTTTATGTTTTAAAACCAACATTTTCATCAAATGATATTAAAAAATTAGATTTAAATAATAAATTATCGATAGCATATGATGGTACTGCATATCTACCCGGTATTGTTGGTCTAAATAATATTAAAGAAAATGATTATTGTAATGTTATACTGCAGGCATTATCACATGTAAAAACAATAAGAAATTATTTTCTTATCGAATCAAATTATGATCATTTTGTACAACAAAATGCACAAAATCATTCAGCATTATTATTACAAAGATTTGGTGAATTATTAAGAAAATTATGGAATGGTAAAAATTTTAAAGCACATGTTTCACCACATGAAATGTTACAAGCAGTTGTATTATCGTCAAAAAAACGTTTTCAAATCACACAACAAGGTGATCCAATAGATTTTCTTAGTTGGTTTTTGAATGCATTACATTCATCATTGAAAGGAACAAATAAAAATGATTCATCAATAATATTCAAAACATTTCGTGGTTCAATGAAAACCTATACACGTAAAGTAATACCAATTGATCGTACTATTGAAGAAAAACTTAAACTAATGGAAAATGAAGAATATGCTGAAAAATGTGAAGATGGAAATTTTCTTTATCTAACACTTGATCTTCCATCAACACCATTATTTCGTGATGAAATGAGTGAAAATATTATACCACAAGTACCATTAAGTCGTTTATTAGCAAAATTTGATGGTAATTCTGAAAAAGAATATAAAACATATAAAGATTCATTTCTGAAACGTTTTGTTATAACAAAATTTCCAAAACATCTTATACTTTATATAAAACGTTTTACAAGAAATACATTTTTTTTGGAAAAAAATCCAACAATTGTAAATTTTCCGATAAAAAATGCTGATCTTTCGGAATTATTTCCAAATCGTAATGAACAAGTAAATGATCAACAACAAAATTTAAAAATAGTTTATGATCTTGTTGCTAATATTGTACATGATGGTCAACCAGAATCAGGAAAAGGAACATATCGTATTCATATTTTACATAAGGTAAATTGATTGATTGATTGATTGATTGATTTTCCTAATTAAATTATCAATTCTTTAGGGTACCGGAAAATGGTTTGAAATACAAGATTTACATGTAACCGAAATACTTCCTCAAATGATTACATTATCGGAAGCATATATACAAATATGGGAACAACAATAATCTCTGTCTGCTTGCCTGCCTGCCAAACTATGATGATGAAATTCATTTCTAAAATATGAAATATACCAATTTTTGATTGAAAAACGTTGTACATACGCTATTTGTTTGTTCAAATCAAAAGAATCCTTTTTTTTATTCATTCACAAACAATAACAAAAAATCCATTTACGCCATTTAAAATTCTAATTTTCGAAGGTTATTGCGCGCGCATTATTATATCTTTTTTTCAATAATATTTACGTTTTTCATTCGATTCTCTCTTTCTCTATTTCTTTTAACACTCTCGGTTGGATGCATGGATTTTTTCTCCTGTTGTTGTTGTTTATTAATCGTTTAACTATGTCAACCAATTGATGTTGCGAATCATTGTTGGTGGTACTTTTTTATTGTTATTTTTTTGTTTGTTTGTTATTGGCACGTGTTATTCAAGATGGCCACGACTACTTTCTTTTCACGATGATAGACATTTTGAAAGAAACAAAAAAAAATGTTTTTTAGCCAATGTCGAGACGGAAAGGACACACAAACAAATTGTGGATACAAAAAATATTAATAAAGAAGGTTCTTTTTTTGTTGTTTTTTTATGACGTCGTAATTATGATTGTTTCGCAAAATGAAATGTGTTAGCCATCGTAGCATCACCGGTCGTTGATGAATTCTTGTTCAATGAATCGTTCATTCGCATACTAACCACCACCATCATGATTGTTGGATTATTACCTCGGATGCAGTGATAAATTTTTTTTTCTTTGTTTTTTCGATAATGTTGTTTTGTTGTTGTCGTTTTTTGTAACTATTTTTTTTTTATAAATAAAATTTTCAAAATAAAAAAATGAATTTTTCCGGTGATAATTTCTATTGTGACAATGACCGTTATGAACGTTCGAAAATTGATAAACTTCGTTTCGAACGTGAAGAAATACAAGCAAAAACATATAAAAATTGGATCAATTCAATACTGATACAAGGTCGTACCAATATTGATAATATTTATACGGATTTTAATGATGGTGAAAAATTAATCATACTATTAAGACTTTTAACCGGTGAAAATGTTGGTACAATTAATAAAAGTTCATCATTACTTCATAAAATTGCTAATGTTAGTCAATGTCTTCGATTTATTCGAAACAAGGTTTGTTATTTGCAAAATGATGATGACAATTTCTGTTAATTTTTCATTTCATTTAATTGTTGTTTTGTTCTTTTCAATTATCATTTTCTAAACAGAATGTATATCTTGAAAGTATTGGACCAGATGATATTGTTAATGGAAATAAAACATTAACTTTAGGCTTGATATGGACATTGATTCTTCGTTTTCAACTTAGTAGACATCTTGATTTTGAACAATATGATTTGAAAACAATTAAAGAATCACTACTATTATGGTGCTGTAATCGTATTAAACATTTAGATTTCGTTGAAATTAATGATTTTCATCAAAGCTGGCAAAATGGTTGGGCATTCATTGCATTAGTACATAGTTTTCGTCCTGAATCATTGGATATTAATACATTACGACAAATGGAAAGCAGAGAATTATTAGCTATTGCATTTGATACTGGTTATCAACAATTGTTGATACCAAAAATTTTAGATATCGATGATGTTATCAATAAACCAGACGAAAATTCAATATTGACTTATGTATCATTTTACTATAATCTACATAGCAGGACTAAAAACTCAGAAACAAATATTAAACGTATACAATATTTATTAACAAATATTAGTGATGTTGACAATATGCAAGATTCATATAAACAAATTTGCCATACCTTATTGGAATGGATTACGGCCAAATCATTATTGTTTGAACAGGATGTCCCAATGGATCATGCACAAGATGAAATGTTTGAATTTAATCAATATTTTTTCAATGAACGTTTTGAAAAATTAAATTGTCGAAATCATTGTGAAACATTATATTTTGAAATAATAAGTATGCAGAAAAAAGCTGGTATAAAAATATTTCGACCAGAAAATGGTTTGAAAGTAAAAGATTTGGAAAAAGCATGGCTAAATTTAGAAATCAAAGAAACCAGACGGCTTTCAAAACTTAAAAATCTTATTAATCAAAAACAAAAAATCTGTCAACAAATTCAATTGTTTGATTTGAAAAGTGAAAAATTTGAAAATTATATTTGTTCAAAATTGAAATTATTGAACAAAATATTTATGATTGAAAAATCATCGTTGCAGAATCTTGAACAACATTTACAACAATCCGAAGCAATTTGTTTGGATATTATTCATGATAATAATAATATGAAATTTGATTCATTAATATCATTGGCAAATGAATTGATTGAGCAACAGCAATCCGATGATACAAAATTTTATAGCCAATATTTAAATCATATTGATGAAAAATTAAAACGTTTACAGGAACTTGCATCGTCTAATTTGACAACAATTGAATTAACCAGGCATTTATTCGTTGATCTTTCCTGTATTGAAAACATTGTTAATGAATCGAATGATCTTTATGGACAAATCAATACAATAATCGTCGATATACAGTCGAATAATTCAATACAATCGATTATGTTAAATTTAGAAAAATTGAAATATTTAGAAATTTATTTAATTGTATTGGAAAAAGATTATATTGAATCGAAAAGAAAATTTGATTCAATACGTTTGGATGATAAATATCGATTTTGTTTCATTATATTGGATATCGATGATTTTGAAAAGAAATTGAACGATTCAAAATTGAATATTGTCGCTTGTCGTGATTTGATTGAAAAACTTAAGAGAATTTCTGAATATAAAATTCAATTGAATAAATTCTATACAAATGTTGAATATTTATGGCAATTTTTGAATGAAAAAATACTCATCACACAATCGAATCCAAATGATTGTTTAAATTTTTCTCAATTACATTTCATACAACGAAGAAATAATATTATAAAACTTGAATTAAAAGTTATGGAACGTGAATTATATGATACCTGTAAACAAGGTTATTTGATTATTGATTCACAACACGAACATAAAGATAATAATTTCATCAACGAATCGATCGAAGAGAAAATTGAAAAAATTAAAACGGATTTTAAAAATTTCATCGTAACTATTAATGAACGAACATTATTGATTAATGATTGTTTACAATTATATCAATTGATTGATGAATTACGACAACATAAAAAACTTATTGAAAATCTTAATGAAAATTTTTTGAAAAATATTCAAGAAAAAATTGATTTATATCAAAATGATTTATTATATCTTGGTGAAATTTTGGATAAACTTGGCCAACTTTCAATACGAATCGAAAGGTTTGATCCAAATCAATCAAATCAATATATTGTTTATTTAAAAAATTATCAATTAGATCGGAATCGATTAGAATCATTACATTATTATCTTATTATTGAATTGAATTTCCCGGATATTAATTTGAATAAATTTCGTACCATTCATTTGAATTTATTTGAATTGATTCGCGATAGAATTGATCATATTAAACAATTAATATCGATAACGAGATCAGATTTTAATCTGCGAAAATTAAAACAAATGTTGAGTGTAAAAATTGACGAAAATGACGGTGATGATATTATTGAATCGAATCCAGCAGCCATTTCGAATACATCATCGGTTGCCGAAATTGATTTAATTTTTCAATTATTTTTCGAACAATATGAACCATCATCGTATGAATTGGAAGATTCATTGAATGAACGTAATCATTTTGTTGTCAATGATTTTCATAATATGAATCGATTATCAAATTTAATTAAACAAACAATGAAATTGATAAAATCCGCTCAAGATATTGTTGATTTATGTCAAATAGAAAATCGATCGGATATTGTTCAGGAAGAACGTTTAGTTTCGGATGAAATGAGCGAAAATATTAGTGAAAATAATGAGCATGAACAACAACAATTTCCTGTTGCTATCGAAGATCATTCTGAATCGATCCAATTGGTCAATATTGTTGAAATAGAAAATGATGATGATGATGATGATGATAAAATTCCTTCGATTGAAATTGAAATCGAATCTGAAGAAGAACAAAAACATCGAGCAGCTATAATTATGAAAAAGAAAATCTTTATTCATAAATTAAAAAATGATATCATCTTTATTTATCATTATTTTATTAACAACAATCAACAATCATCGAATCAAGATTTAAAATTTAAATTAAATTTTTTAACAAAAATATTGAAAAATAATGTTAAAAGAATTGAAATCTATATTATTGAACATCCAGAAGATGATAATAATAGTGTTGAAATGATTCAAAAATTATCAAATGAATTGAAAAAATGTTCGCTGGAAATTGATAGATATCAAACATTATCAACATTTAAAGATTTAATTGATGATTTTTATCTTAATATTAATAATCATTTTGATTCATTGAAATGTATCAATGTTATTGATTTAAATGAATTGAATAATGAACAATATTTACGTAATGATTTACGAACAATTGAATCGATTGAATGTTCATATGGTTATTATAAAGATTTATTTGATGAATTTCAACAATTGAATAACGATTCCGATGAACAATGGCAAAAATATATTGTTGATTTGACATTAATATTTGAAAAATTTGATAATACTATTCAATTGACTAAAGAATTTTTGAATAAACATTGGAAATGTTTACAAGAAAAGAAGAAAAAAATTCGATTAGAATCATTTATGAAACGTTTATATCGAATTGAAAATAAACAACCGAATCCAAGAATCGATAATGACGAAATGGTTAAAGTTGAAAATTCTTCTACAGCTATCGATGAATGTCCTATTCAGAATGATTTAAAAGATCGAAAAGATTCACCGGTGGATACATCATTAGAAGATTTGATTCGTGAAATTGAAATCATTTTGTTTGATGTGAATTGTGGTATAAATATGCATCGATATAAATCCGAACAAATTGATACATTATTGATGGAAGCCCAACGATTGACTGATGATGAAAAAATATTAAATAAACTACAATCATATAAAAAACAAATGAATATTATTATCAGAAAACAAATGGATTGTTTAGAATTGGAAAATTTTCAATCAACATCGGAATATTTTCAAACATGTTTAAAACAAGATCTGCAAATTATGAATGAATTGATTGAAAATCTGATTCAGAAACCAATCAATAATGAACAAAGAAATTTAATTGAAACAAAAATAATAAATTTAAAATTTAATTATCGTCATTATACAGGTATTATTGAAATGATTCAACAAAATTTTCTTGATAGTAAACAACCTGAAATATGTTCGAAAAAAATCTTATTAAATGATTTATTTCAAAAATTTCAACAAAATATTAATCATCTTATGGATTTATTAATAATTAATAATGATTATAATAAGATTTATACAAATATTGAATATATTACTATAATTATTGAAGAATATAATGATATTGATTTAGAAACATTGAAAGAATTACAAATGAAAACAAATGAATGTATTGAACAGATGAAATTATTTAAAAATGAAAAATTTATAAAAATGGAAAATTCAATGAAAAATGAAGCTGGCAAACTGGATCTTTCGATTAATCGATTACAAATTATTATTCGTTATAAAATTTTAAAATATGAATTGGCAAAAAAATTGAAAAAATTTGAAAATCGTTTTATTGATGAAGAAAATGATGAATTTCGGGCGTTTATTGATGAAATTTTGGAACAGCAGAAAATTCTTGACCAAATGTTATTGAAAGATTTCAATGAAAATCAAATTGAAATGTTTCAACAAATTCTAATAAATTTTGAAATATTAATGAAAAAATTGGATTCATTTAGTTATTTGATAGAAATTGATTTGAATAGAAAATCGCTTGAATCAACCGATTTGATTATTGAACCAATTCGACCTTCTTCATCATCGAAAATCATCAAGCGGATTATCAATAAAAAACCTAAAAAGATTGCTGAAATTAAGAAAACAACATTTACCAATCAGTTGAAATCCGAAACAAGTTCAATTTCAAGTGAAGATATTATAAATAATAATTATTGTAAAGATTTTGATGATATAACTGAGCAGATTATAAAATCTACAACAATTTTACATGAAAACGAAGATGATGATGAAGATAATATAACAAAAATTTATGAAGTATGCATTGAATTAGTGAAACCCGATGAAGATGATGAAAAACAGGATGATAGAATTGTTGTTGTTGAAGAAGAATCACATGATGATAAGAATTTGAACAATGAATTAATCAAGAATGATGATGATGATGAAATATCCACTGAAAATCCTGCAGCAACAAGACAAGCCAAAATGGTCGAAAATGAAATTCCTAAACAAATTAACGTAGAAATGGATATGATAATTGATGATTCAAAGGAAATGATTCCGAAAATAGACAGCTGTATCGGAGATGTAACATCTACCTCCACAAATATTTCACCTTATGATCCTTTGCCTAGTCAATCAGCAACAAAACAAGAAAACACAAATAATAATGCAAATAACAAACAACAAAAACGATCATCGAAAAAGAAGAAAAAAACGAAAAAGAAATCCAAATCAAATGATGATTCATTCCAAAATATTACCTCACCATCAACATCAGACAAAATTGATTCTTCTTTAACAAAAGAATCTGTTATTCATCCATCTACCGTTGATGTGAATGAGGATGATGATGAAAATCTAAATCCAAATGAAAAGGAATCAATTTTGGAAAAAAATTTGACATTTCAAATGAAAATTCCTTCAGTTGCAGAGTGTTGTTGTTGTTCAGAATCTGAAGAAGTAGCAGAAGAATTCAAATTGAATGTCGGTGATGATGATGATGATTGGTTGGATTATCTGACTCCCAAAATAAAAACATCAACTTTCAATAATGATGATGATGATGAAATTTCTATGAATCAAAAAAATATGGATGAAAAATTGAAAAATCATTCGGTACAGCAACATGAACAAAAACCGGATCAAAATGATGACGAAAATCGAATGACAAAAATAGATTTTTTACAAACGAAATATCAAAATCCATGTTTGACATCACCAACGCCAAGCTTAAGTTTTGACAGCATCGATAAAAATGATGATGATCACAAAGTATTGGAAGCAAAAAATGAACCGGTAATTGATGATTTTCCAATATTCAAATCTCCCGAAATATCGGATGTTTGGTTAGATTATCTATCCAATAATGATGATATGGTTAGTGACAAACAAGAAGATTTGCCAGCCAAAAACACCGTTCAGGCTGAAATTGTTATTGATCAAGATGGCAAAAAATTCGACAATATCGATACATCAAAGTCAAAAATATTGAAAAAATCTAGAAAAAATAAAAAACAAAAATTGAATGAAAATCAGAAAATTGCCGATGATGATAATCAATCAGAATCAAAGAAATATGACAATCAATCAATGAACGATGAAAAAGATTCTATTTTGAAGCAAGGTCATCTCGCTTCATCAAAACAACAACAAGCAAATGAAAATTTCATTGATTTGGAATCGAATAAACCCGATCGAAAATATATGATTGAAAAATTTAATGAACTATTTCCATTATTATCAAATCATTCGTTATCAATTAAAAATAGATTAATTTCAGATCAATGTCAACAGCAGTATGAAGATTTAAATGATGATAATGATGATAGAAAAATCAAGGAATCATGTGATGAAAATGGCCCTACATTCAATCATCAAATAGAATCGATTCCAGCATTAATTTATTCTCATGAGAATCCTTTAGCAGTAGCATTAGTCCCAAATGATTATTCAAACGATAAAGAAAAAACTAATGAAATAATCTTGACGACATTAAACGATAATAATGATAATGATATCGGTGATTATTCACCATCATTATTATCAAGCGATTCAAATGAAAATATCAACGAAAATAATGATGATGATGATGAAAACAATTACGCTATCCTTAATGATCTTGAATCAAGAATCGATACGATTAATGATCAAATTCAATTGATAATCATTCAAATTGCTATATTGTTCAGTGATAATGATGATGATGAATGTTTTCGCGATAATCAACAACAACAACAAATTCGACAGCTTGAAAATTTGATCGAATCACGTAATAATCATCCATTAGGAATAGAATCTCCTGATTCCAATAATGAAAATGTTGAAACCAACAATAATAATGATCCAAATGTTGTTGATCCTAACAACGATAAACAATCAAAAGTTGTTATAAAAAATCCCGGACAACAACCATCATTATCAACGGATGTTTGGTTAGATTATTTAAGTCCAGTTTTATCGACATCATCATCATCATCCGTGTCAACAAATAAATTTTGTGAATTAATCAATTGGAATGAAATTGAAAATAATGTACATTGTGATTTGGAAATCCGAAATTCATCATCCATAACTAAATTTGATCATATTTCTGATAAACATGACAACAAAACCACCATATCAAACAATATTAATCCAGCTAAAGTTGAAACCAAATCCAATGAATGGATGGATTATTTATCGCCTCAACAATCAAAAAGAAATTCAAAACTTGAATTTCAATCCTCGATTATAATCCTTCAACCGGTTGTAAATGAAACTTCGCAAAATGTGAAAAAACCGAATTCGGTTGACACTGAATCTTTGAACAAACTAAAAGAAAAACCTCTTGAAATATCAAATTCTTTTTCAGATATTTGGCTAGATTATTTAACTCCTCAAAATGATTCAAATTCTGAAGAAATTTTGGAAAATAACAAACAGAATTTGATTCTTATTGATCCATCTGAATCAATTGAATCTGAAAAAGTAAAAGTATCTGATGATTGGCAAGATTATTTATCACCTCCAAAATCGAATGTGAACAAATCAGAATTTCGAACGTCGATTATAGAACCGCTTGAAAGTAATCGTAAAAACGAATTAGATTTGCTTGATCAACAAGAAGAATCAAAGAAAGAGAATCAAATTGTAACGCAGGAAAAAGATATTGATCCAAAATCAATTTTAATCGAAAATGGTGCTCAACAACAACAAACAATCGATACTATCGTACAGAATAATACCGATAAAAATCAATGTAAAAAATCAAAGAAAAAATCCAAAAAGCATAAAAAGAATCCAACATCAAAAAATAATGTAGTGATCAATAGTGTCATTGATCCTGTAGATGATAAGAAAATTTCGATAAATCATTTGGAACCGGAATCTATTGATTCTGGTAATCATCCAAAATCAATTAATGAATTTCATTTCAATATTTCGGATGATTGGCTAGATTATTTATCGTTCGAAAAAACTAATAAACCAAAATTTGATCAACAAACTTCTATCATAGATTTACAGCCATTTAAAAAGATTGATAGTGAAAAATTTTCCAATGATGAAAATGTTGATGAACATGAGAACATCAAACTGAATCAAGTTGAAAAATTACAATCAAAAATTACTATACAACATAGTGGTGATTCATTGCCAAATGGACAACAGTCAACAACTTTTGATTCGAATACTAATTTGATTGAAAAATATACTAATGATGAAAATGATGAAAAATATTTGATAAATCAATTGGGACCAATGATAATCAACGAAAACGATAAATTTGAAAACAGTAGGAAAGGTGAAAATGATCGAGCAATGATAGCAAACAAAAATCCAACTTTACCATTAGTTTCAAACAATCCAATGAATGAAAACATTATAAACAGTAATGAACATTCATTTTTGGCCCGTACAGAATTAATTCAAAAACCATTAGATCCAATGACAACTAACAAACAAATTATTATTGAGCCTAGAATGAAAAACAAAACTAAAACTAAAAGAATAAATATTGATGAAAACAAACAGCCAGTTCTCTCAACAAATGATGATGATGATAATAATGGAAAATTGATTGACAAAAACTTTGTTCAAAAGCCAAAATCAAACATTGTTACAAATTCAATTGAATCAACATCATCATTGGCTGTAAATAATTCTGATAATGTAGATTCTTATACGAACGATATCGGTAATTTATTATCATCCGATATTGGTAAACAGCCATTTTCTAAGAAAAAACAACAAATGAAAATTCAACGAAAACGAATTCCATTGAATCGTAATGTTGTTGTTGTTGATAAAAGTCTAAAAGTCAATGACATGAATAATTTGGATGCTAAAATCAATGGAAATAGAGAAAGATTTGATCAAACAGAAAATGATCATCATTCACAATCCAATGATGGTTTATCATCAACAACACAATCATCATCAACAACAACAACAACAAAATTCAAACGTATTCTACAATATTCTTTACCATTTTATATTTTACTTTTATTTTCATTATTATTATTATTAATATTGCCTAAAAATGAAATTGAATTTGATTGTTTACGACGACAAAATTATGATTATCAAATAACATTGAAGAAAATGTATCTGCATGGATCACCACCAATCTAATCGATGATAATCGATCAGTGATAAATATTTGATTTATTTGGTATTTTTGTTTATTTTATATTTCGAAATAACTTGAATATTATCAACAACAAACAAATAACATACATAACATGCCTTATCACATTTTTGTTTATCACATTTTTTGTTTATTTCGTTTGATTGGATTCCTTTATTTTTGTTTTCATTCAAATATTGAATGCGTTTTAAATTTTTTGTTTGCCATTTTACAAAATCTATAATTTGTTAATGTCGTTGTTTTTCGTCAAGTTTTCAAATACTGAATTTCTATTTTAAAAAATGTTGAATATTATTTTTATCACTTTATTTGTGTTTTTATCATCCGATAATTATATATTTTGTAATGAAAATGAATTAAATAATAATGAAATAAATCATTTAATTTTGGATCCATCACATTTGTTTCCATTGCTTAAGGTTTGATTATGGTTTCCAAATGGATGTTTGTAATTCGCGTTATTTATTTTTTTGTAATTTTTCTAAAAATTTAGAATGAAGTAATTTTGTTTGAAGAATTTATTCGTAAACATGATAAACCTTATGGAAATGATTTAACAGGTGAAATTTGTAATTTAAAAAAATTAAAAAATTTTATAATTTTTTTCAACCCTTCGTTTGTCTCTATAGAGAAAGCAAAACGTTTTAAAATTTTCAGAGAAAATTTATTGAAAATTCGTCTGCTAAATCAAAATGAATTAGGATCGGCTGTTTATGGTATAACATCGGTAACCGATTTAACCTATGATGAATTTAAAAATTATTTAGGATTACGACCAGATTTATATCAACCAAATGATAATGATAATCAACAAGAAATTGATGATAATTATTTTTTCGATAATAATAATAATACACCTGATTCATTTGATTGGCGTAATAAATTAGGTGTTGTAAGTAATGTTAAAAATCAAGAACAATGTGGTTCTTGTTGGGCATTTAGTGCTACCGGTAATATTGAAGGTGTTTGGGCTTTAAAACGTAATGAATCGGTTTCACTTTCTGAACAAGGTCAGTCAATTGAAGTAAAAGTAAAGTTTTCCAAAAACAAAAACAAATCTTTTCCATTCAATTAGAACTTGTCGATTGTGATAAATATGATAATGGCTGTGGTGGTGGACTACCAACCAATGCATTCAAAACAATCATACAATTAGGTGGTATTGAATCTGAATCTGATTATCCATATGATGCACAGAATGAAAAATGTCATTTTCGTAAATCACTTTCACATGTAAAAATCAATTCCTATGTTGAGCTACCAAAAAATGAAACCTATATGAAAAATTATCTTTTCCATAATGGACCGATTTCAATTGGCATAAATGCAAATGCAATGCAATTTTATTTTGGTGGTATTTCACATCCACCTAGTTGGTTATGTAATCCTGGTAGTCTTGATCATGGTGTTTTAATTGTTGGTTATGGTACAGGTAAAACACGTATTCTACATCAAACGCAACCATATTGGATAATTAAAAATAGTTGGGGAAAAACATGGGGTGAAAAGGTAAATATGGAAGGAACAAACAAACAAATTTACAATTTAACAAATAAACTATTCAAACACAGGGTTATTATCGTGTATATCGTGGTAGTGATACTTGTGGCGTTAGTCAAATGGCATCATCAGCAGTGGTCAACTAATTTGGTAATTCCCGGGATCCAGAAAAACGAAAAATCCAAATTTGACAATTTCTTTTTTCTTTTATCTTTTTCCTTGAATTTTTTCATTCACTATACACAAAATCTGATCCATATTGATTATCATTTCTGTGTCAAATAAATAAAGCAAAACAAACAAAAAAAATTAATTAAAATTGATGAAGATGACAGTTGTGTTGTGTTTGTTTGTGTTGACAAGCCAAAATGATTACGAAATCTAATGATATTGGTGTCGGAAATCAGTGTGAAAAGAATTCGATTAAATCATTTTGGTTGTTCGGTGTTCGGTGCTGTTTGTTTTCTTCCGTTTCAACATTTTGCAATGGAAAAAACCGTTATTTTTTTCAAATATATAGCAGCATCTTGCTATATAATTTTGAACAAAAACATCTTTTATGTTCAAACGATGTTCTTTCGATTAGTCATTCTATATATATAAAATGCACTGAAATGAGAATATTCTGTTCTTTGCTTTGTAAAAAATGAATAACGCATCTTGTGATGCTTTGTGGTGGCCATCTCTAAAACACGAATATTAATGACGCATCGTTGTTTTTTCTCGTCTCACTCTCTATATTCTTTGCATTCATTTTTTCACATTTCGTTGTGTCTTTCATTTCGACATTCGCCAACTCACAATAAACAACAACGAAAAATTCTTTATTCTGTTGTTGTTGTTTGGTTTTTTGTTGTTCAACAAATTCTGTGTTGTGGTTTTCTTTTATTGAAAAAAAAATTGTCGTCATTTTTTCCAAGAATATTATTCAGATAATAATTGAATCTCTCATCCCCCTTCACTACAACATTAACAATGAAAACTTTTGTTAAAAATTTTCGATTTAAATTTAAAAAAAATTTTCAACAACCATGATGATATGATTTAAATGTGTGCAATCAACAGAATCGAAATTGTCAAAAACAAATCATATTTCAAAATCACAGCTTTTTTGTTTTGAATGAATGAATCACAATGAAAAACCAAATAATGATTATTGTTAACCTAATTTTTATCGTTAATCATCTAATATCAACGATAAATAATGAAAAAATTTTAGAAAAAATTAGCTGTGATTTTAATGATGGTACCCTTTGCGATTGGATACTAAATACCAATAATGAAGATGATGGTGGCGGTGGTGGTGGTAACGGTGGATCAATTGCTCAATTTCTACCAATTTTCAATCATACTGAACTATTTTTCGATGATTATGAACATGGTTTGTTGCAAAATATAATCAAATAATGAAATTTTTTGTTATTAACTTTTTGAATTTTGATTTGGGTTGATTTGAAAAATAGAAAAAATACTTTTGATACGATCAAATCCAAAAATGGATATTGTTTCGATTGAAAGTCCAACATTATTTACAAATGATCGTGATTATGAATTTAGTTTTCAAATTAATATGAATTTTATTGGTTATATACAAATCGTTATTCGACAACAACAAATTGAAACACAAATTTTAAAAATTAAAGCAGATCATGATCAAAAGTAATGAATTATTCTTATAATAAACAATTTGAATCTTAATAATCAATTTTTTTTTGCTGGTTTTTTAGATGGAAAACATATTCGGTTGGTCTACCCAAATATCACAAGATGAACATTTTATTGGAAATAAAATTCTTGACCATTATTGATCCAAATTCTGAATATATTGCTTTAAATTATGTAAAAATTATTGATAAACATCATCATAAAATGGATGAAAAAAATGATAATTGTGAATATAAATGCCTGAATAGTAATCAATGTTTATCAAATCAAAGTATTTGTAACATATATAAAGATTGTCCATTTGGTGATGATGAAGAACAAAATTGCGGTAAATCGATACATATTTTGATTAATTTATTTGATTTTGATTTTTCATTTTCGTTTCATATTCAGATCTTTTACCGGCTGGTAGTTATTGTAATTTTGATTATGATTTTTGTTCATGGTATAATTATGATGAACCAAATTCAAGTGGTCAATGGATTCATTTAACAAATAATAATAATCATGATGATAATTCTATTGATTCCGGATCATTAGGTGTTATATTTAAAGGCATTCATAAATTTGCATTAATATCATATCTAAAAAGTCCATTATTTGATTCAATTCCATCATATCATTCCATAATTTCATCAAATTATTTTAACAGTTGTAAGGTAAATATAGTAACCCATTATGGTTAAAATAGAAATTTTTTTTAATAGATCCGATTTTTGTTTGTTCTTTGTTGTCAATAGGTCCATTTTTCCTACATTTTTCATACGATATCGATTGATTTAGCTTTGGAGCTTGAACCATTTATTGATGATAATAATAATAATAATAATAATAAACAAAAACCAATTCAATTATGGCGTTATTTTAACAATAAATTATCATCAAAATGGACAAATGTTACTGTAACATTACCAACAAATTTTCATCAACGTTATTATCTAAAATTTGGTGCAGCATTAGGTTTAAAAAGTACAAGTACATTTGGACAAAAAGTTTATGTTGCTATTGATAATTTTAGTTTAACAAAATCATGTTTCGGAATTGGTAAATTGTCAATTTTTTTTGTTTTGTCATTGCTAATTAATTTGTATTCACATTAGATGTTCCCGAAAATGAACGACGCATTCCATTATTTATTCCGAAAAAAGAACAAATGGAAAAATTTTTTACAATTCCAAAAAATAAATCAATCAATGGTAAATCGATACTGATATGACAAAACTAAACTGAAATTTTTTTATTTCAAAAAAAAGCTTTTACATTTACCACTTGTGGTGCATCAGGAAATCATGGTCCAACATATTCACAATGTGAATTATTTTATCTAAATTCATCAACACGTGCAGCTGTTTTTGAAAAAAATAAAAATCTTAATCTAAATTTGAATATCAATGGTACACAAATGTGGATCGTACCTAAAACTGGATATTATACGTAATTAAGAAAATAGTTTTGAATTTTTGTTTTTGAAATTGAATTTTTTCTTCTTCTTTTTTTTCATTTCACAGAATCATTGCCAAAGGTGGAAATGGTGGCCGTGGATTATATGATCATCCTGGTGGTTTTGGATCATTAGTTCGTGCTATATTTCATTTTCAAGAAGGTGATACAATTTTTTTAGTCATTGGTCATTCGGGTAATGATGTTTGTCGAGAATCTACAAAAAATTTTGATCAATGTAAATATCCACGTAAAAATTCAAATAAAATATCAATCGGTGGAGGTGGTGGTGGAGCAACATATGGTAATTTGAATTTCTCACTATAATCAAATTTTTGTTTATTCAATGAATTTTTTTTTGGTTAGTTTTCAAATTAAATCCTTATTCGAATTCTGTTGAAAAATTCGAACCATTGTTGATAGCTGGAGGTGGTGGTGGAGGAAATGGAAAATTTGATCCAAATTTTAAATTATCATCTGGTAAAATTTGAAAAATTTTGAATTTGATAATTTTTTGATTTTGTTTTTGTTTGCTTTTGTTTTATGAAGCTCAACATGGTCGTGGATTTGATATTTACAATTCGGGATTTCAAGGAATTGGTGATAGATCTGGTGGCGGTTGGAATAGTTCACCTTTTGTTCAAAACAATCAAACTGGTCAATCATTATTGGATGGTGCTATTGGTGGATTGGTTTGTCCACAATTATCCGAATGGAATGTAACAGGTGGTTTTGGTGGTGGTGGTGGTGGTTGTCAATCCGGTGGTGGTGGTGGTGGTTATCAAGGTGGAAATGTACGAAAACCATTTGATGCTGGTGATGGTGGTACATCATATGTTACATTCAATCAATCATTTTTACAATCATTTAGTAATCCAAATATGTTATCATTATCCGAACAAGAAGAAATGATTGCAAATGGTTTTGTTATGGTTATACCACAAATTGATGATTGTTGTAATGATGGTCAATTTGCTTGTTTGATAACCGGTGAATTTCAAAATTACAGTACAGATAAATATTGTATATGTGGTTTGGAAAAATTTCTACCTAATTCTTGTATATGTATGTATTTATTTATTTGCAATTTTCAAATGAAAACATCATTTGTTTTGTTTTGTTTTGTTTCTTACCTTGTTAAAGATGAACCACCAAGATATGAAATAATTCTTTGGGCTGCATTATTCATCATTTCAATTGCACTTATATTGATAACATTCATTTTGATTGGTAAGTAATTTTACTTGAAATGAGAATTTTTATTTACAAATTTTTTACATTTTGTTTTTTTATAGTGTTTCAAAAACGAAATTCAAAAAAGAAACAAAACCTACAACGAAATGAACCGAATGATATGTATCTTTTATCGAATAGTGATTCAACTGATTTACAATTAAGTCGTTTAAGAAGCCATAATATTATTACTGAATATAATCCTAATTATGAATTTGGTGGATCTACTTGTACGCTTGGTGATCTTCCAGAAATACCACGTGAAAAACTTAATCTTGTCAAGTAAGTTTGTTTTAAAAAAGATTTTAATTAAATTTATTTAAAAAAATTCCTATTTTAGAGCTTTAGGACAAGGTGCATTTGGTGAAGTATATCAAGGATTTCTTCATCAAATGCCTGATGAAAATAATGATGAATTACCTGTTGCTGTTAAAACATTACCCGAATATTCAGCCAACAAACAGGCCGAAATGGATTTTCTTATGGAAGCATTGATTATGTCAAAATTTAATCATCGAAATATTGTTAGATTTATTGGTATTTGTTTTGAAAAAATGCCAAGATTTATAATTCTAGAATTATTATCCGGTGGTGATTTGCGAACATTTTTACGTGAAAATCGAAGTGTTGTAGAAAAACCATCAACATTAGTGATGGGTGATCTACTTGTGATGGCTTTGGGTAAGATTGACATTTATCATTTTTTTTCTTTGTTTATATCAAAAGTTTTTTTGTTTGTTTTTCAAAACAAAAATTAGATGTTGCTTGTGGTTGTCAATATTTGGAAGCAAATCATTTTATACATAGAGATATTGCAGCAAGAAATTGTCTGCTTACATCAAAAATTAAAATGATTACAAATACAAATCAATCATTTAATAGTGATGGAAAATTTGATATAAATAATTATAAAAATGGTTTTCAAAATAGTGGTATTGTTGTAAAAATTGCTGATTTTGGTAAGCAGCTGAAACAAGAAATTTGCTAAAAAAAATTGTTAATAATTTTTTTTTTTTTTTTTGATTAAATAATAGGAATGGCAAGAGATATTTATCGTGCAAATTACTATAGAAAAGGTGGTAAAGCTATGTTACCAGTAAAATGGATGCCACCTGAAGCATTTTTAGATGGAATTTTTACATCAAAAACTGATGGTATTGTTGTTGTTGTTATTATTTTTGTCAAAATATTATAATTTTTTTCCCCTCAAAAATCTTTTTAGTATGGAGTTTTGGCGTTCTTTTATGGGAAGTAATGTCGATGGGATATTTGGTAATAATAATGATGTTTATGATGATTATGTTTGTAATATTTACAACAATAATAATGTTTGTTTTTTGGATAAACAGCCTTATCCTGGAAGAGGAAATCAAGAAGTAATGCAATTAGTTACAGCTGGTGGACGTTTAGAATGTCCAAATTCATTAACACCATCACAAATTTATGATATTATGATGCAATGTTGGAATGCAAGTCCTGAACTTCGTCCAAATTTCACAAAAATAATTGAAAATATTGGTGATTGTTTACGTGATCCAGATATACTAAATATACCATTGCCTATATTTCATCGATCAGCATCAATGGAAAAAGATGTAAGATTATTTTATCAAACAAACAAAAAACCATCCAATTTACAAAATATAATTTCTAATTATTAAAAATATTTAATCATTTTTATTACAGAATACATTAATGAGACCACCACCTGATGCAACTGATTATCTTATACCAAATAATTTTGGTTCACAAACCAATTCAAATTATAGTGTTGCTACGGAAAAAACCGAATTATTATCACCTGATACATGTTCAACATTAAGCTGTAATAATGATGATAATCATAATCATAAAAATTTTGATACAATTATTGATGATCATCAAAATGATCATACAAATTTAACACAACAAAATTTTGATTATTTAAATCAACAAAATCGTTTTAATACGGAAATTATTTTAAATCCAAATAGATTTAATAATCAAAATCAATCGGTTAGATATGTAAATGTTAATGTTAATAATTCTATGATTCAAACTAAAAACATTTAACAAAATATAATAATAATAAAATTTTATTATTTTATTTGGAAAAAAAACTTGTTAAAAATTTTTTTATGACTCAAAGTTGAATTGAATTGAATTGAATTTTAATAAATAAAAACCCCTATTCCATAAAATTATAGGGGGAGACAAAAGAAAAAGTAAAAATAAAAATAAAAATAACAAAATTCTATGACTCAAAGTTGCCACACGATATTTGAAACAATACAATTTATTAAATGTTTTGTAAATTCATTATTTTGAAGAAAAAAAATGTTCGAATTTAAATGTAGAAAAAAAATCTTGTAATTAAATTCGATAATAATAGTTGAAACCAAACATAAAAATGAGAAACAAATAGAAAAATTTAATGTATTTTGTAATTTTGTTGATTGAAAAGTAAAAAAAAAAATGAAAAGTATTAATCATTTTAAAATTAGTGCTTTATTGTTCTTTTTTATTCAATCGATTATTGTGGATAAAATTCAAACTGAAGACAATAAATATGATAAGGTTATGATACCATATAAACCAGTATATGGTGCACCAAGTAAATGTACCGGAATGTATGATTCTCAAATGACCGCCGAAAATTACCGAATCTGTCAAATAAATGCCATTGACAAATGGAAAATAGAGATGAAACATTATGTAAGATGAATCAATAATTATTCTTCAAGTAAAAAATCATAATATGTTTTTTTTGTTTGTTTCAAACATAGTACACCGAAAGCTTGAACTTTTGTTGTTTTGTATATGGTGTTTTGGAATGCGAAACTAAAGTTTTGTCTAAATGTGACGCAGATTATTCTGATCGGAATGAGAAAGAGACAAGACGATTGTTTGATAAATCATGTCAACCAATCATTGCAAACAATTCGTGTGGTAAT